AAAGAGCTCCCTCCCAATGGCCAAAGCTGGGCAATCTGAGCAACAAAAGTAGTACTAGATGATGACCAAATAATAAAAGCAATGTCTGTGAGGCCATGCTAATATAATTACATGACAAGTAAATGAGTGGTGAGCAGGGTAGAAAACACAAAGCTCCTGTAGAGAATTCCAAATAACTGATACATATGCTGCTCCCTGAACAAGGTAAAACATAACTTCCCATGTCTTATGTGTGGGCCACATAGAGTAACTTCCTTCCAATGGATACAGCATGGAAATGGGAAAAAGAGTAACTTCACAGTGAAAACCTTAACACACAACATCCCAGCTGGGTGGCCAGCGTTCACATCAACAGTAGTGAGTCACGTTGACAATATGTGCCCTTCACATGACCTGATGACAATGGTACTTCATCTCTGTGGTTTTCCTCCCCGTACCCATGACCCCAGTCTAATCATAAGAACATTAGCAGAGAAATCCGAATTGAGGGACCTTCTACAAAATACCTGACCAGTACTCCTCAAAACTGTCAAGGTCATCAAAAACAAGGGAAGTCTGAGAAACTGTCCCAGCCAAGAGGAGCCTAGGGAGACATGGCGACTAAGTGTAATGTGGTGTCCTGGAAGGGATCCTGGAACAGAGAAAGGACATTAGTAAAACTAAGGAGATCTGAATAAAGGATGGACTTTAGTTAATAACAAAGTATAAATATTGGTTTTATTAACTGTGACAAATATACCATACTAAATAAGATGTTAATAATAGTGAACACTGGTGTGGCTTGTATGGATGGGAACTCTACATAAATCTAAAACTATTCTGAAGTTAAAAGTTTATTGTGAAAAATAATAAATTAGGTCAGACTAACTTGAACATTTAAAAATCTTCAAGAACGTTAACCAAACTTGTTATGAAATCTTATCAAATCCTTACAGACAGAAAAGGAGAACCATGGGCCGGACGCAGTGAAAATAAGTATATTTGATAAAATGGTAACAATTAAAGGGTATTAACATAAGGCCCAAAGGCAAGCAGAAAGATTCTGGACATAATATTTTTATGGTTATGATCAAGAATGTGGGGTGGGGCTCGGAGCCTGTAGCACAGTGGTTATGGCACTAGCCATACATGCCAAGGGTAGCCGGTTCGAAACCAGCCCAGGCCAGCTGCAACAAAAAAATAGCTGGGCGCTGTGGTGGGTGCCTGTAGTCTCAGCCACTTGGGAGGCTGAGGCAAGAGAACTGCTTAACCCCAAGAGTTGGAGGTTGATGTGAGCAGTGACGCCATGGCACTCTACTGAGGGTGACAAAGTGAAACTCAGTAGAGTGAGTTTCAAAACTCTCAAAAAAAGAACGTGGCTAGGTGCAATGGCTCAGACCTGTAATTCCAGCACTCTGGGAGGCAGAGGCAGGACAATCACCTGAGCTCAGGAGGTCCAGAGCAGCCTGAGCAAGTGCGAGACCCCAGGCTCTATTAATAATAGGAAAACTAGGTGGGTGTGGTAGTGGGTACCTATAGTCCCAGTTATGTGGGAGGCTGAGACAGGAGGATCACTTAAGGTCAAGAGTTTGAGGTTCCTTGTGAGATAGGGCACCTCAGCACTCTACCCAGGGCACAGAGTGAGACTCTGCCTCTTCCTCCACCAAAAATAATCTGGATGTCAGTAGGATATGTGCAAATGAATTCTGCTATTGAGAGGAAATTGGGAAGGACAAAAAACCTTGAATAACAAAATCATGATAAAAAGGATCTTGACAAGTTGGGGAGACAAAAATGGATCTAATACAATGAAATTAAGCAGAAAAAAGTAATAAATTTGCATATAAAAATTTAGTTTGGGGAGATATAATGAAAAGTAGCATTTATTTAAAAATTTTTGTTGTGATTTAGTAACCTCACTGAATTATGACAATAATGTGGCTTCCCAAAAAGGTAATGTCCCCTTAGGTCACACAGACTTGAGTACTAGGTGTTACAATGGAGGGGGTGAGGTTAAATTTAGGGTAGAGATTACTGTTGAGAATTACACATTAAAGAGAACAACAAAAAACACTCAAAGATGAGAAATCATGATTGTAGACTTAAAATCATACCACACTAGAAAGGTTTTGGTCTACAAAAGAAAAGAAGACTAGATGTGGGCATGACAGCTATCTTTAAAAATCTTAGTTGTGGCCAGGAGTGGTAGCTCACACCTGTGATACCAGCTTGGAGGCTGAGATGGGAGGATCCCTGGAGCTCAGAAGACCTGGCTGAGCAAGAGTGCAACACGGTCTCTACTAAAAAATGGGTTAACTAGCTGGGTGTTGTGGTAGGTGCTTGTAGTCCCAACTACTCAAGAGGCTGAGGCCAGAGGACCAATTAAGCCTAGGAGTTTGAGGTTGCTGTGAGCTAGGCTGAAATCACAGCACTCTAGCCTGGGAGACCAAGTGAGACTCTGCCTCAAAAAATCCCACAAAACCACACCGCAGTTCTCACTGAATGAAAGAGGGTTTATACTTTGATATGGGTTTAAGTTGTCGCACTATATACAAAAGACAGAAACTCTAAGAATACAGTTTTCACAATTTTCACAATGAAGGTTTTCTAACAGCAGGCTATGAATAGTCTAAACTACATAGTTCGTACTCTAGAAGTATTCAAGCAAAGGCTAATTTTATTTATCAGTAATAGAGAGAAATTAAAATTAAGTAACAAATAATTGAGCATTAAATACATTTTTGGTTTAAGATTAGGACTAAAGAAAGGCACAACTATTATGAAAATATGCCTAACGTTCCTTTGATATTCAAAACCATTACCTGACTTGTACTGGTTTAGTCATAAAGAGTTACCTCACTCTAAGATGCTAAAACTTTATAGTGAAACCAGTGTCTTTAATTTTGAGTCCTGTTCACCCTCACTTTCCTAAATCAAAGAGCATTTTATTCTTGGTTTAGCTAGGCTTTCATAGGTCCAACATTAACCAATTAAATAATAAACTAAAATGATTCAGGATTAAGTGGATTATATATCATACAAATTAACACATCAAAATTTCAAAGGTTTCACTATGAACAAAGCAACGACTACAGCCACGGAGGTATGCTCCTGATAACCTGAGCTCGTGCACTTCATACTTGCTAGATTTACGGTTGTAAAATCTTCCAGTCACATAACAGCCCTCCGCTAGCTACCTACAATCCATTCGCTTTGTAGAAACTCCTCAGGGCTACACAGTCCAAATTATTGCAGTGACTATGACAGGAGAAGACCAAGAAATAAAGCAACACACAGATGGGCAAAGACACCTGTTAACAGATACAAGGTTAAGCACGTTCAAACAAGTAGGGATATTGAGCCCATTATCTTTTAAAATAAAGTGTAAATCTCTGCTAAGATTCCTTTTTCCTGCATTACTGAAATATCTGAGTTTAGCAAAATGCTATTTAGAACCTGACAATGGAAAAAAGGAGTTAATCCTTTTTAAAAACTAACTGCAGTTTTATTTTATTAGGCAAGGTTCCACAGGACAAAATATTTAAAAAGAGAGGTTGAGGACTTGACTGTAATTTCTGGGTCTGCTTCTCGTCACCGGCAAAGTGATATGGAAAAGATAACTCATCTTTCTTAGCCTCCATTTTCTCACCTGTAAAGTAGGGACAATAAAGATCCTACCCTTTTCACAGGATCACTGTGAAGGCTAAATGAAATCATGAATATAAAAAGTACTTTCCAAACTGTTAGAAACCACACAAAGTAATTTGATATTATTAATACGTCACATCCAATATTTCCAAAAGCTGAGAGGATCACAAAGTATAGTCTGATGCTAGAAAGAAAGCATACGGTGTTACCCTCTTGGGAATGAAGTTCATATCACAAAAGCAAAAACTCTATGATTCTCATTTTTTAAATTTATTATTATTATTTTAAATAATGAGGGCCTCCTTTCCATTTCTCCAAGGCTTCAAGAACACTACAGCTAATCTCTGGCTATCCAGGAAGGCATGGGACACAAAAAATAAACTTCCTGTGAAAACTAACAAACAGGTGACACTATTAGAACTACCAGGAAAGCCTGGAGAAATGGAAGAGAGGAAAGCCTAAAGAGAAAGTTGAAGACTGGCTGGGAAATCTTGTGGCAAATATCAAAGAACCAGAAGAGTCTACAGGCAATGGGGTTGACTAACACTCACACTCCCTTCTATGGCTTTCCTAACTTGTTACCATGTAGCAAATGACCCAGAGTTTGCCATCAATCAACAAGAAACACAGCAATGAATGATATAAAGCTTATAGGGGTAAATGTATGCTCTTTTCATTAGACATATTACAAAATATTTTTTTCTTATTAACTTCTTCAATAAATACATTGGGAAAGGGTTAAAGTGAAATATGAGCACACTCTCCAAAATAATCTCAAGAAAAGTATCTAGAAGGTAACTGTACTTTTCTTCATGGTATATTCAATTTTTAAATCCTGAATATTGTTATACATATTAGTCATTTAGCCATCTCCTTCCAACAGGAAACGTGCCAGTTTGAATTTATTGCCAGAGCTCATATAAAAAAAAAAAAATGCAGGATAAAATAAGAATGAGCAATTAACTGACCAAGAGCACTAATCCAAACACAGAAGACTTCGGAGTCCTAGCACTGGTTTCTCTTTTGAGGAAAACCCTTTAACTACCCTATTTCTACTTCTCCAACGATCAAGTTAAGTGTTAAATATAAGCCTGATGGCCACCTGTCAGGATGTTACAGAGGGAACTCCTCTGTTGAAATGATGTTCGGGAAAAATTCTAGTTTCTCTGTTACTCTAAGATTCTATAATCCTAGAAATATATCTTCCCTAAAATTTAAAAAAAAAAAAAAAGATGAAGGGCTTCAGCACCTCAGAAGAAATCTAATTAAATGGTCTCTTTTTAGGATATCTTGAGATGAATTATATCAAAACAACTTTAATACTTATTTTTTCTAGTCTAATGTTCTTTTTTTCTCTCTCTCTAGAAATTTACCTTTATCCTTATCCAATGGTTCCTGGGAAAGAACAGTGCACAGCACCGGGTTTTTCCACACCCCAGTCTCTTGAGCTAGAGTAGCTAAAAAATGCAATTCACAGCTGCCATTCTCCATCAGCTTTTCATGAGCTACCTATAAATATTAAATAAACATCCAAAGAATTACAACAGATTTTTTAAAGCAAGCTTATCAGGCTTTAAATATAACACTAAACTTTCAAAAATTAAGAATTTTATCTTAAAAATTTCATGTCATATTTACAAATTCCTTTACTTCTGATATTTAAAGATGAATTTCAAGGATAAGAAACAAATCAATTATAAATCTTAAGTAAGTATATTTAGAGAAGTCCATATGTTTTCTCAATGTCTAAACCCAAGTAAAGTTACTTCTCAAGGATGCTATCAGAATATCCATAAGCATAAAAGACCTTCCACATTTTATATCCTCTGTGTTAGTAAAAAAATCCCCCCAATCTACATTAATAAAAAGATCTATATGACAACCTACACAATTTCCAATAAAAGAGACTCACAAAAAGAAAACAACTAAATGTATGATTTTCATTTATTCATTACATAGCTTTGGCATTTCACATTAGAGCTAACAATGAACCTTGCTTACTAGTTGTTTCCAAGTGTTCACAAACTTGGCATATTCTTCAGTCCAAAAAATATCAATGGTTTTTATTCAAATCACAAAATATTTATTGAGAATTTTGATGAACAAAATTCCAGGGAACAGCAACTTAAGCCCTTATGGGGCCTATTCTCTCATGGGATAAGGAAATGTTTAGACAATTAAAACACAAGGAAAATATGCTACCTAAAACATACACTGTTAGGTAGGTATAAACTAGCCTTGAGGAAGCTCTGAAATACATGTAGGAGCAAAGTGTCATGGAAACTCAAAGCTTCATGCCACATTCAAGCAAAAGTCTATTCTTCAAAGCCTTAAAGCCAATCTTTCCACTGCAACAAAGTTCAGGTACTTTAAGAAATTTTCTTTGAGAAGTGGATGCAGAGGAATTCAAAGATTTCCCTTAGAATTCACATAAAAAGGTATCAACTAGTGGTTCTGTTTCAAAAAGGAGAGTTTACAAATTTATCTTATATTGGCAAACAAAATAAAAAATGAATGTTTGGAAGTTTATCTTATGTTGACAAAATATACCAAACATGAGTTTAGTGTATTTGTATATAAACAACATATTTAATTAATACTGTGGTAGGGTTTAATCTGTATGTTAAACAATAGAAAGCTCTGAAACAATTATTTACCTAAAAAGAAATACTTGGGGCTAAGCACAGTGGCTCACACCTGTAATCCTAGCACCCAGGTGGGTGAGTCGCTCACAGGTTCAAGACCAGTCTGAGCAAAACACAAGACCCCTCTACTAAAAAAGTAGAAAAACTGAGGCAAGAGGATCACTTGAGCCCAAGAGTTAGAGGTTGCTGTGAGCTATGACACCATGGCACTATATCCAGAGTGACAGCTTAAGACTCTGTCTCAAAAAGAAAAAAAAAAAAAAAAAGGAAAGGAATAGTTTGTGGAAAAAACCCAAGACACAAGTAACTGTAAAACTGCATGCTCAAAACAAGTTACTGCAATGTGACGGACAAGACGAGACTCTCTCATTTCAACAAAGTCCATTAGGCCTTGATTGGGTTTAAGAGCCAATGTGGAACCCTGGAGTATTAAATAAGATATATAAAGTCTTCCTTTAAGGACTTAGCACTTGATATAGATTTTAGTGTTATTATATATTAAAATAGAAAAGTTTATTTATTTGCCTCTTGTTTGTATTTCACATACTTCTAAAATTTAAGACTAAATTTCTTAATGTACTTCTTATAGAAAACCCTAAAGCCAAAAGATATTTTAAGAACTCTGGTAAGAGAAACAGAGAAAAAGAACCGTATCTTTTGAAACTAGCTAGCAGGAATATTCTTTTGAACAAAACAATTAATCAAAATTTACCTGAAGCTATACTATAATTAGCACAATCTAGTGCTTGAAACAGAATTTAACTTTCTTGAAAACACTCCAAAACAGCTAAGTGCTAAATTGTGTAGTACCATGTGTAAGTAGAATGATAGCACCAAATGAGAGACAAAGCACATGTTTTTAGATAGAGGCAGAAAAGCATGGGCTTTAGAATAAAGAATCATTTTTCAAGTATTAGCTGTGTAAGTTTGGCAGATAAATATCTGAAAGCATGAGCCTCGGTTTCTTCACCTTTAAAATGGGGAAAATATCCCTACCCATAGAAAGTTTTCACAAGGATTAAATGATGCATGTTACATTCCTATAAAGCATACTGGACATTTCCAGCAATCAGTTAAACTGTTTTTAAATCCAAATGAGGACTTTTTTTTGTTTCCTTAGTGCTCTGACAAAGCCCTAAATTATCTGATTTTAAGAAATGTGCAGTATTAATATATCTCAGTGCACACACACAGTGGCAACTGATGTGTGTTATCATTTACATGTTTTAAAGTTTAACCAAATAATTAAGAATACAGAAAACTGATGCAAGATAAACCTATGTTAAGTCTAATAGGTAAAGATTCTTACCTGCACCAGTGACTGAAATTGTTGCCACTGTTTATCTGGTAACTCAACAGGCAGACACAGTAAAAGTTCAACACAGCTTCTAAAAAAACAAAAAATGGATACACATAATTATTAAAATTCAAAGTAAAATAAAACTAGTAATTCACCAGATTGTCCATAATTAATCCATTTAAAATTAAACTATCATATGACATGAGATAATAAAGTAAATTTTGTTTCTTTACAAACATATCTAGTTTTTTATTTACTCAAAGGTATACTCACAATGCCAAGCGTTCCAGAACCAAGGCTACATTTTCACATTCAGATGTAAGATAAGGTCGGGCTTTAACATAACTTTGGATAGCCACTGTGTATACCTCCAATAAAGGCAAGGGATCTTCTGAAGTTTTCCATTTCTCTGCATATTCTAGAAGTGTCTGTTTTGGAAGAAGTAATAAAAAGTATTCAAAATGTAAATCAAAATACACATTAACTAATCAGTTGTGTTTTTCTTTTCTCCCTGAGAAATTTTTGAAAAATAACATTTTTATTTATAGAAACAAAACATAGCTTATAGTAATAAAAATATTAAAAGAAATAAAGCCAGAGTCTTGTTTTTGGCAGCTCTCTGGAGGAAAAAGTAAATTCATTCACCAACGGTATCATTTCACCAAAGCCAGTGTTAAAAGAGTATAGGTATCAGCTCCTCTCCCAGGTCAAAATGCTGCTTTTCACTCAATAATTTCTAAGTTATAAACATTATTTTAAAAAGAGACACCTGGACAAGTAATACTTGACCAGCCAGGCACACAGTAAAGAATTTCAAATAATATTTTTTCTAGGTTTTGTATAAGGAGAAGCAAATTCAATATCTAACAAAAAATGAATCACATATAGTTAGCAAAAACATATACGATTTTTTGATAAGGTTTATCTTAAAAAGTCATTAAAAGACCTTTAATACATAAAATTAATATCAAAGATATTAAAGAATGATTATAAAGTCAAGTAATTTTATAATAAAGTATTTTATAATTAAAAACATTTCTCATCCTTCTGTGAAGTAAATACTTTAAATTCATCTCATCAGAATTTTTTTGAGACAGAGTCTCAAGCTGTGCTGTCAGTAGAGTAACGTGGCATCACAGCTCACAGCAGCCTCAGGCTCAAGTGATTTTCTTGCCTCAGCCTCCCAAGTAACTGTGTCTGCAGGTGCCCGCCACAACATCCAGCTATTTTGTTGTTGTTGCTGCAGTTGTCTTTGTTGTTTAGCTGGCCCGGGACTGGGTTCAAATACCTGCCAGCCTCGTTGTATGTGGTTGGCAACCTAACCACAGAGCTATGGGCACCACCCTCATCAGAATTATTTTTTTAAGAAGTTACTTATCTTCTTTGAATGAAAAGATGGAAGAAAATGGCAACAGCAGAAATGTAAATAAATCTTAAGACTATAGCTATTAAAATCACGAGTTGCAAAAAACTAAAAGGTTATATACAGTTAAACTAAATTAAGTGCAACTTTAATCTGATGTTTCTGTAATACAGAAGCCTGCCACAATTGGTCTTCATTGCACTATGGAAAAATTCAGATGTCTTTTCCTAGAAAAAAGGGTATATTGAGGGGGAAAAAAAAAATCTCTGCCACAAGGGTTTGTATCCTCTGTCATACAGAAGCAATTATAAAAACAGAAGGAAAAAAAAGCAAGGGAATTTATACTCTACTACTAAACACTCAAAAGAAAACACTATTTTGTCCTCTCTGCTAAACTCTAACTAGCTGAAATGGTAAGATCATTCAAACAAAAAAAGAAAGAAAAAGCAACAGAAAGGCAAACTGGTAAATTACAGGGTAACATAACATACTCTTACACACATAACAACAATCCACCTTGAGTAGTCACATTCATAGACCCTGGCCCTCTCTCTCCTCCAGCTATCCCCTTCCCCCTGTCCTTTCCTTTCCTTTCTTTCAAGGAGTGAGTGCAAAATACTGATTGCCAGAAGAGCTATACAGAGAAAGGCTAGAAAACCTGAAGCCACAGTGTGCTGGGCAGGATGGGTGGCAGGTCTAAAACCAACTCAGATGGCAAAATTTCCAGGTAAAGTTGAAGTGGAAAAACTTATTTCTCAGATACCCAGGGAAAAACACCCACCCATGTCTTGCCCAGGCGTGCCCTAAAACAAATTTGTTCTTGTATCAATACTTTTCACCTCACCTCACAGTCCCACTATATTTCAAATTTTCATGGTACAAAATAAATTCTGTATGGAGATAGAAACAATCAGGGATAAGTCCTCTAGCACCATCCAAATTTGAAAAACTCAGAAATCCAAAGGTAAAGTGTTTTCTGAACATCTAAGTTCAAGGCAGGAACAGAGATGCTGGGTTGGGGGCATCAGTGTTTTTATACAAAGCACGTTCTTGGCAATCTCCATGTTGGCCTGGGCTGCAAACACCTAAGGAAGAGTGAGGCTTCCCATCATACCCAAGACAATTCAGGCTTCAGTGTTATTTTACATGTAATTTCAACCCTGAGTCTCACTTTTGCAAATGTTAGGGATCAGGAACCAATACCCCAAAATACTGCACATAGAAAAGCTGAACAAGAAATCTTAAGGACTCTCTGACACCCCCGTCCCCTCTAGGCTCTCAATCTTCTGTCTCTCCCACAGCACAGGATGAAGTTGTTTTCTGAAGTTCCCTTATTTGTGTAGAGTTCAGACTCACCAAACAAAAAAACAATTACCTCTTATCCCTTTCCTGAGTTTTCACTAACTGAACTAGATGACGCAGGAAAAGAGAGCGAAGTCTACCAATACATTTGGACAGACTTTTGTCACAAACCAAAGTCTGTAGCCTTTTGTCCCAGGCCACTGTATGTTCAAGTCCACTGAATTCCTCTAAAAATGACTTATTACTCACTTGAAATCGTCCACACTCCCTATTGTCCTTTCGCTTAAGGAGGAGGATAAAGAGCATCCGGAGTCAACTGGGAGGGTGGGGAATCACATCCAATGATGAATAAATTTGTATGTCTTTTCTCCCATTAGTTAATTTTTTGTCTAATTGATTTTCATCAAAGGATGAAAGGGAAGTTTTCCCTTAGCCCTTATACAGGCGAATTCTCATTTTCTTTTACACATCCTTCAAATAAAGAGTAACTTACTATGTATTTCTTATAGATCTGAACAATTATACCCTCTAATCTTTTGAAGGACAATGAGAGAGCTATGGTCTACTGGAAGATGAAAAGAGTCTCTTTTCATCAGAACAATTATGAACTGGAATCAGCTCCTGGTTGAACCAAAACAAAGTAGAACAAACTATACAAGATAATATGGAATTCAATGATGCAATCACTCAAAGAGGATGTTAGATTTACCATTCACAGCAATCTTTCAAGCTTGTGCCACTGATAGGCAAACAGGTGTGTTGTAATAAAAAACATCCTGCATTGTAAGAGTATCTTCCTCGTATGTTAGTGAGATGAATTATTATTAATATTTTTGAGACAGATTGCCCTGGGTAGAGTGCTGTGGCATCATAGCTCACAGTAACCTGCAACTTGGACTCAAGCAATCCTCTTGCCTCAGTTTTTCTATTTTTAGTAGAGACAGGGTCTCGCTTTTGCTCAGGCTGGTCTCAAACTCATGAGCTCAAGCAATCCACCTGCCTCAGTCTCCCAAGAGTGCTAGGATTACAGGTGTGAGCCACTGTGTTGGCCAGTGAGATGATTTTTGACTGAGGGACTGCCAGATAGTTTCAGCAGAGGAACTGTCACCAGAAAGACCAAGCTGGTTAGAGAGCTGGGACTTCCAGCCCCACTCCCTCCACCTCTCAGGAGGTAAAAGGGGCAAAAGACTGAGTTCAGTCTCCAATGGCCTCTTACTTAATCTGGCTTATCTATGTAATGGAAGCTTCACAAAATTCTCTAAACAGGATTCAGAGAAAACACCCAAGTGCTGGGAAGGCAGCACAGCCCGACTTCACAGGGACAGTGACCCTGTGCTCGAGACCCTTTCGGACCTTACCCTATGTACCCCTCCACCTGTCTGTCCATCTGTATCCTACATGATATATTACTGTAACAGTAACTACAGCACTTTCTTGAGTTCAGTGAGCTATTCCATCATATTATTAAACCTAAGCCTTCTATCAAATATTGTAGTCAACTCAGAAGTATAATTTGGGGTATTGGTATTGGAAATGGTGTCTGACCAAATTCCCATACTTTTCCCCCATTAACACAACAGTTTTTGTTCTCACATTGTTCAATAAATAAATAAATATGTCTATATACATATATACTCCTGGGGATGGAAAATGATTAGGGGAAGGAAAGTCAAAAGTATCATTAAGAGAAGCATACATACATACATGAGTAGACAAAGGTGAAATTCATCTGGTTTGGAGAGAGGTGTGAAGATACAGAACAAACCTAAACATCTCCCTGCAAGGCACCAGATTGCTTCCATTATTGAGTAATCTGTAAGCTAAGTATGGTAGGAAAATCAAAAGCTTTGTAACACAGATTGATGGAACTCAGGATACTTAATCTGGATAACCAGTAGCACTTACTGAATACCTACCATGTGCCAGGCACTGTTCTAAGAGCTTAACATGTATTACCTATTAAGTAAATTATAGCAATAGGCCTACATTAAAAGTGAAGAAGACAAGGCATAAAAAGGCTAAGCCAGGGGTCCTCAAACTTTTTAAACAGGGGGCCAGTTCACTATCCCTCAGACCATTGGAGGGCTGGACTGCAGGCCCCAGGACAAGTTGGCTGCTAAGCGGGACAGGCAGCAGTGGCAAAAACACCCAGTGGGCTGGATAAATGTCCTTGGTGGGCCGCATGTGGCCTATGGGCCGTAGTTTGAGGACGCCTGGGTTAAGCAATCAGTTGCAAGATCACAGAGCTAGGAAAAGACAAATACAGGATTCAAACTCTCATAGTATGACCCCAGAGTTTGTGTACTTTACTGTGCTGTCCATTCCTGGGGAAATAAAAATTTCATTCACAGCTAAATTCATACATCTAAAGGCTTGTCACATAAGAAAAGAGTTAATTTTACTTTGTGTGTTCTTACAGGACACACCAGAACCACCAGGTTAAGATCTGAAAAGAGATACATTCCTGCTTACTACACAAGGTAGAACCATCAATTAGAATTAATCAAAAACAGAACAGACTGGCCTCCTGAGACAGGTGGTAACTTATCAACTGAAGTTACTGAACAGGAACGAGAGGACTCTAACCATAGGATGCTGTGAAGGAGTCACATTCTGGAGACACATTCCATCACAGGGGCTGAACCCTGTGTGTGAGTGCCTGTGTGTTGCCAAACTGGTGGCCCATGAATGTTTCCACTAATGTGCACTGTGTTCAAAAAATATTTGAATTAGTTCCTAGTATTTAGAAATCTTAAGTTTTAA